GGCTGATTGGCGCCTGCGCCACCGTGTGCGGTGGGGACGCGACCAAGCGCGGGGCTGGGGCTGGAGACGAGGGGAAACAGAGTCACGTTGGGAAGGGAGCTTCGTGCGTGTGTGCCACCACTTTTACTGGCTTCCAGAAAGAGTCCCCTCCCTGGCCGCGCGTTAGGGACATGACCCCCGCCACTCTCCATGGGGACAGCGCCCCGTTTCTTACCCCCCTTGCAGTGCCCGGGGTCCCACCCTGGCTTCCAGCAGCCTCGACCTGTCCCAAAATGGCTAGGACCCGCTGCAGCGGCCTCCTTCCTCGCCCCTCCCCCTCACGTCCCGAGCCCCTAAAGTGCTCCCTCCACGGGCTCTCCACAGTGTCAGCTTACACGCCTTATATAGTCCGAGCAGGCTCCAGCGGCCTGCTGGGACCCGGGGAAGGAGGGGGAGCTGGCCCCTGACTCACCCTGCCGCCCTCCTGAGATTCCAGGTTAGCTTGGGCGAAGCAGTGCCAATTAGCCCCACAGCCCACCCCCGGGAGAGAAAAGAAGTTAGACTTGATGAGAACTTTGCTCACCCTCCCAGTGGCAGGGGCCAGGGTGGGGAACTGACTTGTCTGTTGCCTGTGAGGTCTGCCAGCCGGGAGCCCCGCCAAACCCAACAAGATACCTGCCTCCCAGTGCCTGTGTGTGCTGAGCGTCTCTCTGTGCCTTCTGGTACCTGGCTAACGCTAGTGACCAGATCTGGACCTGCTGGGCCATCTGCAGTGCTGGGTGCGGCCACTCACTTTCTCTTCTGTCCTCACAGGAGCAGGCACCATGGATTCCTTCAAGGTAGTGCTGGAGGGGCCAGCACCTTGGGGCTTCCGGCTGCAAGGGGGCAAGGACTTCAATGTGCCCCTCTCCATCTCTCGGGTAAGCCTAGACTGGGGAATGCACTCCCCAAGGGTTCTTGGGTGCCCATGTTTCCAGCAAATGGTGGGAAGAAACAGCAAGAGCGAGCAAGCTGCTCAGGGGCCAACAGGACACCAGCATCCAGGTCCAAATGGGCCCTTACTTCAAGGACTCCTGGCTAGGTGGATAGTGGAATGGGGAGCCCCCCCCCCCCAGCTGCCCTGCTTTGACATGGTACTTGATGCTATTCCAAGCCCCCTTGGCCATCTGTGAGTGCCAAGGAGAAGCCTATTTTACAATATGGGAGGTTGATGTCTCCAAGAAGTGCTTTAGCATGAAGAACAGTGTGTGGCACCAGGTGCCAGGCAGGACCTAACTTTAATGTCACTGCTATCCAAGGCATAGCAGTTGTCATCCTGCTTTGCCAAGTGACAGGACTTGGAGGGATGGAGGAGCTCAACCAGCAAGTCCCTGGCAGAGCAAGAATATGAACTGAGGCACAAAATGGCTTGTCCTTCCTGTAAGTTTAAGGGGTCTCTTCCCAGCTGAGTGAGGACTGAGCAGGCTGAGACTCAGGTCCTCAGCCTGCTGGTTCTGGTCAGGCTGTAGTGACCTTTGACCCTAAGCAGAGGTGTAGTGAGGCTAGCCTCCAGGATTCTTGTTCCCATTCTTCAGTCTGCCCTGATGGGGGGTGGGGCTGGGAGCTGACTCCTCCCTGTGGCAGGGGGATTGCCTTATAAGCCCAAGAATGTAGCCCCAGCTGGGATGGCCAACAGTGGCCAGTCAACAGAACCCAAAAGGGTTGGCCTAGGTCTAGGCCCCTTAGCGCCATTGGTGGGCCCTTCACCTGATCATCAGTCATTTTGTGTCAGTGGGACTCAAAGCAAACTTTGTGCCAGAGTGGGTGAGGCCAGGGCGCCAGCTTGGTAGCTCTGACTGGCCTAGGGGGTCAAAAAAGGGGCAGGGACTTCCTGCCCTGATAGCCTCCTGCCTAGAGAGGCCCACCCAGCCACAGAGTAGGCATGCAGCTGTTGGCAGGAAGCCCAAGGCAAGCCCAGCCCGAAGGGGCCTGAGAACTTCCCGACACTGCTCAGCCTGAGAGGGGTGTCAAGGCTGCATCTCTCAGTGGGAGCTGGACATCAGATATCGGACATCGAGGCTAGGGCAGGCATACAGACAAACAGGCTGCGTTCTTCCCAGGACCCTTCCCTGGGGCCCTCTTGGAATCCGCCCCAACCAGCAGGGTGACTAAGGCAGTGGGCCCTCCCCCCATGCACATCCTACATCTCCCTCCTCCCGGGAGTGCTGGCCAGTGTGGTGTAGGGCTTGCTTTCTTCCTGGGTAACGATGGCCTCTTAGATGTTGCCTGTTGGAGGCACTCTGGTCCCTGGGTTCCTTTGTCAGCAGCCTTAACGTGTGGGTGGGGCTACCAGCTGAGCCCTGCCCTGGAATGGGTGGGGTGGTCTTTCCTAAATTGGGCCAGCCTGCTATCCCTCCCCTGACCCCAGAGTAGAGGGAGGAAGGAGGGGCGAGGCCTGGCTGTGGGCCCAGGCCTGGAAAATGAGGTAATGTCTGGGATTTGGGGGTTGGGCAGCTCAGTAGAGCTCCCAGGCTGACTCACCCACATCCATAAAGCTGTCCAGCCCCCTGGCTTTTTACCTCCTTAATCTCACTAGCCACCTTTCCCAAAGGGCCCTGCCCCATGCTGCTGTCCCCACTCTGACCACTGTCTTACCCCCACATCCTTCCTGCCCTCCTCACCCCATAAAAGTAGTTCCTCACTCACTCCTCCACTCCCTTTCTGGGAGCCAGCTGCTCCTCCTCCTAGGACCCCCCCCCCCCCCCCCCCCACCCCCCGGGGTCCCACCCCCCCCCC